CGATATGGCATATTATATTTTCTGTTACATCCCCGTGATAATTTTTTTTTTCGCCAGTCACATCCATTTTTAACGGTGGATATTTTTATAGGCTACATTGGCTGTATATTTGTTGTTAAAAGTTTATAAATTCCACCAGAATCACATAAATAGATAAACTGTCAAAATAAAACAGAAAAGAATATGAAATAGCTAGAAATAAATCGATGAAACAAAAAAAATTGATTATTTAAAAATAATAGACACAATCATATCTATGAAAAATCTAGTAAGGACAATCTGTAAAATGTCAAGTTAAAGAAACTTTTTGAAATGTTTTTAAACAATGGCTACCCAAAACACATATAAAAAACTTTATAACGCAAACTTTTATAATAGAGCTTTAATAAATAATCCACAATCAGTTACATAGAAAAATAACTGACTGATACAAAATTTAACAGACCAAATTGTCCTTCTTTTCAAAACGTTAGCAAACATAAAATTAATTAATTACAATCGACTTCTAAATTCCAGGTTATTCTTAAACATAAAAGCTAAAACTCCAAATTCATTAATGAGTAACATAATTTACCGAATAAATTGCAGTGAATGTTAAAGTTGTTATATTGGTCAAAGTCAACAGTGACTTATGCAACGTGTCACGCAACGCAAAAGTGACTGCAACAGAAAAACAGACCCTTTTGTCTTAGTGGACCAATACTTAAAGACATATATGACTTTAATAATGTAAAAAATCTTAAAAAAGTTAATAATTATAAAAACCGGCTTTTTCTTAAAACGGTTTGCATTAGCAAAACTGCCGAATTCATCAATTATAAGATTGACACTAACCCTTTGAGTAATATCTACTGCAACATTGTAATGAACATATGACATGGTAGATCCTAACCTTTAGAAAACAAACACATTGCTCGCTTAATCCTTTAGTTAGTCTTCCTGAAATTTATAGAACTTAATATGCTTCTGATCGTTTCTCATTCCTTTAATATTAATTGCATCTGTCCACCTTACAATATCAATAATTCTGTCTCTTGTTTACTTCAACTTATCCACTACAAATTGTTCAATGTAAGACTTCAATCTATAAAGATATAATATATATTATATAATATCAAATTAGGGCCTTAGATACCCTTGGTTTCGATAGTCTTGACTAGTTTCTTTCACTTTTTCCGGTTCTTCACTTGTTCTATCTAGTCTCGTGTTCCCATTTCTTCTATGTCGTAATTCGTAAAACGTGTCCCAATCATCTAACTATCTGTGCCCTAATATTATGTGTTATTTTGGGTATACGACTCTATACGCTCCTTATTTGTTCTTTTTCTAAGATTTTAACTTTTAACTTTTTCTAAGATTTTCCTGTCGCAAATCTATAACTTTTTTCTTTATTCTGATTCTTATCCAAGTTTCACATGCATACAATACCGTTGTTGTCCTTATTGTTTCATTCTATTGTTTGACCTTGACTGTCCTGTATTGTTTTACCTTTAATAGTGTGCTTAATGATCCTAGTGCTTTGCTACCTTTCAACAACCGTTTATCTATTTCTTTCTCTTAACCTCGTCTATTTGTAACTGTTACTTCAAGGTTATCAAATTTTGTGACTTTCTCAAATTAATAGTCACTTCAGAAATATCAAGTCATCTGCGAAACCTTTGAACTGTTGTCTTTTGTTCAGAATCACGCGGCTTGTCTCTGATCTTGGCTCTCCTACTTATTTTTTCTAGTCCTAGGTTGAATAAGTCTGGCGTCTTCCTGTTTTAATCACCTATTGACGCTAAACTGATTTAAAAGGTATCGATCTGTAAATAAATTTATTTATGTAGGTATTTACTGGTAGCCTCATTTTAACCAATCGTATCAATTTTACTGCTATTCCTACTGCTCTTATTGCTTTCGCGAGATAGAGTCTTAGGCCTGTTTAAAATCAATAAATAGCATATGCAAACTTTGGTTTTGTTCATAACTTATAATGTTTTGTAATAATTTTAGGACAAAAATTTGGTCATTTGTTGTTCTTTTCTGTCTAAAACCAGACTGGTATATTTCTATTATCTTTGTTTCGTAAGTTTTTATTCTACTTCTTATAATGTTTGCTTATACTTTATTTATACTACTTCTAATGGTGCGATTACCTAAAATGTTAAACATTATGTAGTATTTTAAAATTTAGTTATAAATGTTTATGTAGGGGAAAGGAGGGCAAGATGACGATAGTAAGCTTAAAAAAATCCTAGAACTGATATTTTTCCCTGTATCGAATGCATGCAACTACAAGGTAATTGGCTGATAGTAGTACTTTACATATTAAAATTAGATTACGTAAGGGTTAATATTTCAAATTAAAATTTTAAAATTTATCTACCTATGTCATATTCGTCATCTTACCCTTCGTGGAGGGTAAGATGACTAATTGTGAAGTGTAAGATGACGAGGTATGCCTATTCTAAGAAAAAAAAGTCAGTTATATATATATATATATATATATATATATATATATATATATATATATATATATATATATATATATATATATATATATATATCGGGAAAAGGAGTACGACCGTCAATCCAATATATATATAAGGATCACTCAGACGAGTGGTGGGTTCTTATATCGGTCTCTAGGTGGAGAAATAAAAGACAAAGTTGATAGGCTACTTTATCTATTTTGAAGACGTTTCGCTTTCGAGTTTTGAAAGCATCATCAGTTCATCTAAAAAATTATTACAATATGAGAACCACACAATCATGGAAACGATGTTAATTGTTACCTTAAAAAGATATGTAGCAGTCAATGTTATTAACAAATATGTGAATGAAACTAAGTACTATGTCCATTTACTTAGTTTCATTCACATATTTGTTAATAACATTGACTGCTACATATCTTTTTAAGGTAACAATTAACATCGTTTCCATGATTGTGTGGTTCTCATATTGTAATAATTTTTTAGATGAACTGATGATGCTTTCAAAACTCGAAAGCGAAACGTCTTCAAAATAGATAAAGAAGCCTATCAACTTTGTCTTTTATTTCTCCACCTAGAGACCGATATAAGAACCCACCACTCGTCTGAGTGATCCTTATATATATATATATATATATATATATATATATATATATATATATATATATATATATATATATATATATAAAAACATACAAATATATAGGCAGGAAAGTAAACAAATTAAAGTAAAATGCATTTATTTTGTAATTAATGCAGCACTTGTAGTAGGTCCTACATTTTTAAAAGTACCTATCACACGTCCATTGTTTTACCTTTGCTTCTTGACTCTCCATTCCAGTGCATTTATCGTGAGCCCATTCCCTATACCTGCTGCAGCAATACCATAGCTCATATTTTCCTCTTTCATTGCGGAATATGCAATCTCTTTCTTCCTCTGAATCGTTATCAGTGTCAGCATATTCCATATCTACTGACGAGTTAGACGAGTCGTCAAATTTTATTTTTCTCTTAGTATTTTTCCTTTGCCTTTATTGAGAGTGAATTTCCTATTTTTTGCTGAAAATTAAAGTCTTTGCTTCTATTTCTTTTCCAATTTTCTTCTGTTCTGTTATATCCCTTTTCCTCTCTTTTGCTAATTTGGAGCTTCCATTTCTTCTAAAATCTTTACTATTGGTGTACTGGAAATAACGAGAGATGGTAATTTCTTTCTGGGTCGTTTTGTTCTCACTTCAGCAACAAGTAATTTAGGCAGACCATTATTCAATATATGATTTGATACATGAGGGGGTGTCCGACTAGCTATTCCTGATGTAGATGGAACAGGCATATTTGGAATAGAAATATCTAAAATTTCGTCAGAATTTCAACAGATTCTTGAGGTACTGTTTCTTTTAAAACAGATATCGGTGACAGTCCTTCATTATCTGGCATTTCCTCTTCGACCTTTACATTTTCCAAAGCAGAGGTAGTTGCCAAACTATTGCCAAAGATGCCTCAAAATCAAGTATATCAAACACCTGGCTATCAACAGGATATATGCCAGTGGCTCTAAAACCACTAAGAGTATTTGAAACAGTTGCTGCTTTTAAGTCGTAAGTAAGGGTTGCAATGTCATACAATGTTATAAGATGACCCGGATTACTGATCAAAAAATCTTCGCAAGCTCGTGAGTATGCTGCAAAAGGATTGTGCAAAGTTTTTACCAACCATTTTCTTTGTAGTGTTAAATCTATCAGCAACACCACAATGAACGGCAAAGTCGAAAGCAATTTTTCTAAACTGATCTGTGGTTAATTAGTAGGTTCTGGAATATATGCTTTTAAGGCTGCATTGGCACTTACCTGATGAGCAGTTATTTAAGCCATTGCTCTTTTTATATTTTCTTTCGACCAAGATTGTCTGTCTGTCTATCTTTTGTATATTTTGCCCATATTTAAATCTGAAATTGAAAGTAGGTATGACTTACTGTTAATTTTAGTTAATTCGGGTAAGATGACGAATAACTCGTCATCTTATCCACAAGTGTCATCTTTCTTTCTAAAAATCGTAAAGTCAAATTTATTATTCATAACAAATATTTTCTATAAGTAATTTATACGTAAAAGATATTAGTTTCGAACAAAAAATACAACAGTTATCTAATACTTACCAAAAACCTTTAAAACCTTATTTTCGAAAACAATAATATTGTATATTTGTAGTCAAAGGCGAGAAACCTTAGAATATCTGTTCGGTCCTGACTGAAGACAGTGTTGCCAGAGTTGTACGTTGGAAAAATATCGGGAATTCGTCATCTTACCCGATTCGTCATCTTACCCCACTTTACCCTATGGATCCGTAAAAATATTTTAAAAATAATATTTTATACTTCAATTATTGATGTTGCAAGGAAAACTTTTTTCTTCTATCCGTTAAATAAAGTTCAAAAATCCTAATTACTTTATTTATAATTTAAAGATTGTAATTTCACTTAATTCTCTTGTTGCGAAAAGATAAAATTGTAACAGAAAAAAATTGTTTCAGGATAACAAGGGAATGGTGAATCCAGCGACATCTGAGCGGACGAACTCGCCAACTGTACGAGTCAATATTCCACCGCCGACAGTTTCCGACAAATCACAACCGGCCAAGCAGTCGACCAAGATAAGGCTGCGACGTCGAATAACAATTCCATTTATACTCAACGCTGTTATTGCGATCTCAGGTGAGAATTCCCTTTGTTTATTATTACTCATCCATTATTCACATGCACATTGCTTAAGTTTGTTCCTTCGCAAAACCTAATGACAATTTGTAGTTTGTTTTCCTAATATAGATTAATATCGTTGACATTGAGTTCAGGTGCTATCAGATGGTTGTCATTAGGTAAACAGCAGTGACGTAGAAACGAAACATTTAACGGAAGAGACTATTTTGTTCAATTATTTAATAGAAGTGCTCGTGAAGTGTATAATAACAAAAATTTAGTGTTATTTAAAACAAGTCAGAGAATTTTTAAAAATCGATACAGTACGGTAATCATTTTTTTATGTACCTAAATAAGAGATTTGTATTCAATATCTGTGGTCTGAAATTATTAACGCAAGAATTCCTGTTTTAGTCAATAAAATAGTGATTTAGTGTCTTTTGGAATAATAAACATCACAAAAGCAAGACCTTAAAAGCAATAAATAAGTCTATATATAGTCACTTAAATTGTATAATTAATATTGTTGACTTCCAACAGGTGTGTTTGTCATTTAGTAATAATTATGATCATATCATCTTGTTATTTCCATTCATCTAGTGCATATTCATTATTCTAAATTAGTAAAAGTTAATCATCTTTTTTGCTTTGTTTTACTGTTCATTATTTTGAATATAAGTAAATAGTTAATTATCTATTCTATTTTGTTATTAAAGTGGTGTGCTGATTTTAGTTTTTTCACTGTATTACTACATCTTACTCAATTCCGCAAATTTAACCGAATAACGTATTTTATTTAATGTTTTATTTCATGACGTCACATTAACGTAACTTTATATTCATTTTACCTTTCAATACATTAAATATTATAATATTTATAATACTCAAACAAACTGAAGGTCAAATAAACAAAAATTTGAGGAAGTTATCTTTTGGCTATTCTGAATAAATCTTTAAATGTTGTAATAGTAAAGTAAACCGTTACTTTATTCTGGGTGTTTAATACCATTTTTTAATGTCTACTATACCTATTACAATATATACAGTGTGGAAACCACTTATGGAATAAAATTGTTTGTGTCCTTATTTTAGAAAATAATAACGTTGAAGTAACTTAACTTTTAAATTGTAATGTGCGTTTTTTAAATATAAATTTGAGTGTACAGGGTGATCCATACAAGTCTGGGATCGTCCATAATCTTTATTTTAAAAGAAACAACCTGTATATTTTTATGTTTTTAAAAGCTCCTTAACTACCCGATCTCAACGAACTATATCATGTAGGGTCTATTATGAATAATACAAGGTGAAATTTTGAAATTACGTATAATTTTGTTTAAGACAATTAATTCATAGAATACCCGAGGTAATTGATTGGATTACATTAAAATAAATGCTCAAAATATTCTCCACCTTGTTGTTAGCAATAACACAGTCTCCTATAAAACTCGTTCGAACTTTGTTTAAAGTTTGAGGTGGAATATTCCGTATTTCTGTAGTTATCCTTTCTTTGATGTCTTTAATGATAACCCCAATCTAAAGGCGTAATATCTGGCGACCTAGCTGGCCACTCAATAGTACCCCTTCGCACAATCCATTTATTGAAGAAGATTTCATTCAAGTAGTTTCTCACCATTAAAGCATAATGGAGTGTTGCACCGTTCTGCTGGAACCAGACAGTTTCATGCGGTAGGGTGGGATCTATTGGATTGGGGTATAAGTTAGCCAACTAAGAACATCGTCTCTTAGCATGCTTAAATATTTTTCCGCTCTCAAATTATCATCTAATATATTTCTCAAATTATCATCAAATAATATGATTTCCTATAATACAGTTAATAATCTGTAGAAGCTGTACAGTTAATAATCTCCAATTTTAACACCCATAGGTTCACCTTTTCTATTCCAAATATCCAAAACTTCCTTCAAATAAATCTTAAAAAGCGTAGTATGCAGCAGCCTTGGCGAAGTCTTTTGACAACCTTTATCTTTTTTATCACTTTGTCTAATTTTTATTGAATCGTCATATCGTCGTATAACTCCCTCATATGAATAATGTAAATTGGTAAAATGTTCTTGTCTGCTAGCACCTGCCACAGTTTGGCCTTTCACTACTGTCACTATCATACGCCTTTTAAAGATCAATAAATACCATGTGTGATACTTCGTATACTTTATATCATCATAAAGTCTGATTTTATGAGACATTCCCTATTATATTATGAGACAATCAGTATAGTTAGTTCATTAAGTATAATTATATTTGCAAATATAATATACCAAGAACGAAAACGACAAAAACATTTTGCTCATTAGTTTTAGTCGTGATTCGGTCCAAAGTGTAAAATGGTTAGTTTCAGACCTAAATATCGTAAGTAGGTACTTAAAATTCCTAAATATCTGATAATGTGCCAAGTACACCTTCAGCGAATATAATTTTTTTAAATTGTCTGTGCCATCATTGTTTGATTTTTATACTTATATTTTTCTCATGCGCATATAATATTTTACTGGTTATTTCTGGTTCAATTCATTTCCCGGAATAATGTTTCCGAGGATTCTTTCTGCCATTTTTATAGGTTTTAATGAAACATTGATAGGTTCTGAAAGTGTTTTGATGGTATTTTTGTATTATCTTCTTTTTTTAATTAGAAATACCAACAATATTAATTGAAAATGTGTTTATTTTGGCGAATTATTGACAAAATATTGTTCTTATTTAATACTAAAAATTCATGATACATCATGCAAAAAATTACCCTAATAAAGTATAACACGAGTGTATAAAGTATAATAAAAAGTTTTTAATGAGTCATCAGAAATATACAGGTCGCACCATTACTCGAAAATACCATAGAAATATTTTTGAAAGAGCACATCTGGTGTATTTTCCAATTAGAATCTATTCAATGAAAAATACAGCGTTATAATAACAGTTATTAGTATTATATAATAGTTATAATAAGTTAAGTAAATATATTTAAAAAACTTTACATGGCAAAAGTCTGCTTAGCACTTTTTTTACAGTTTTAGGTTAAGAAACGTGTCTAGTCCTTACTACAGACATATACAAATAAAGTGAGCGTTAAAATACAGTCCAGTTTCGCCAGTGCGACAAAGAAAACTGTTAAAACGCTGCCCCTGCATCTCTTTCTAATAGGCGGAGTTTATTACCCACGTGACCTTCTCACTCTAAACACAAGTAAAGGAAAGATCAATTGATCGATAAACCCGACCCATTAGAAAGATATGGAGGGACTAGGGACTGCTTGGTTATAACTATATAGTTGGCTATTACTACAGCAAATTGCTAGGGAGCAATTTGTTGTTGTTATAGCCAACCTTCAGTAATGGAGAAGGCAACTTAAGAAGAAGGGACTACTTTGCGTCAGTTTCCTCTGTCGCACTGGAGGAACGAGCCCCGGTGTTGCAGCGATCAATCTATGGTCCTTTCACATAAAAAGTAGAATAATTGCTATTCTTATTTGTTATGGTGTTACAAATGTGTTTGTGTAATTAGTGTGCTGGAATAAAATTACGAAGTGTGGCGTCAGGAGCTAAGGATAATACATCGACCCCACGCCTGACACCATTTTATAATACGAGTAGAAGAAAGATTGCAATTTGGTCACAAAATAAGAGCTGTCGCATAATAGTTGAATAATTATTTTAATTGTAATCAAAGGGGGAGAAAAATTTAAATTATTTTTATCAAGAGAAAATCTGAAATGCCAAAACAGCACACAACAAAGCTTAGTTCTATGTATTTGCTGTTTATTTTACAGAAATATCGTACAAATTAAAGTATTTGGGAGATATTTTGTATTTGATTATTTTTAATCATAATAAATCACTTTTTCAAGTCATACTTAAAAACTAATCATTTTTTATAATCTGTTGCGTGAAAACAAACATGATCCATCTTTCGTCAGCCTCTCTGGTAACTGTCCTACTCATCATAATTTTAGGGCAGCTATGCGATTTTCTATATATTAGGCTCGTCTCTTTTTCCATTCTACGTATTTATTTTTATACCACATATACCTTTTCGTTTTTCTTTGAGTTATTCATAATTTTTCGATATTGACTTTTGTAAGAGACTAGGATTGAAAACCGTTAATACTTTGGTTTTTGATTGACTCTTGTAAAATGGAGATGAGTTTACTGTACTTGACTCTTAGAAGGCTGTTTCAAAGTAGATGGAGTATGCGAAGACATCTGTATTAACGGCATGCTTGATGAATAAGGACTTGTATGCAGAATAGGACCTCTCGGGTGCCGTGCCCCATTCTAAAGTCCATTTTTTTGTCGCTTATGTTTTCAACTAGCTTTTTATATACTCCATGTTTGTATAATGCTAAAGAAAACTTAGAAGCATTATTTGGAGTCCATGTTCTGACACAACGATGCCTGGATATGAATCAGGACATATATGCTTGCTTTATAGATTTCAAGAAAGCTTTTGATAGAGTTCAACATGAGAAGCTTTTAAGTATTCTTAAGACTAAAAACATTGATACTAGAGATCTACAAATTATATCGAATCTGTATCAAAACCAGAAAGCAAGAGTAAGAGTCGAAGGAGAACTGACAGAGGAAGTAAGTATACTTAAAGGAGTTCGACAAGGGTGTATCCTTTCACCACTCTTATTCAACGTCTACAGTGAAGTGATTTTTCAAGAGGCTTTATTGGATATCGTGGAAGGTATTTATGTCAACGGAAATAGCATTAATAATATTAGATATGCCGACGATACTGTCATATTTGCAAGTGACATGGAAGATCTACAGTACATAATACAACATGTATACAATGCATGTGAAAGTTACGGACTGCAAATAAATCTCAACAAAACGAAATCAATGATATTCTCAAAAAAACCACAAAATGTAAATAACCTGATCATCAATAATACAACGATAGAAAGAGTAAAAACATATAAATATTTAGGAACGTGGCTAACCGAAGATGGAGATCAAGTAAAGGAGATCAGATCTAGAATAGAAATGGCAAGAAA